TGGCTTTTAGGCGTTACTTCAGTATAAATTCCTTATGGTTTTTTTTGTAATGAACTGATAAATTAAATGTCAATAGTAAATGTTAATACAACAACGTAAACTTTGGGACATTCTTCCTTCTATCATACCACAGGCAAAACAAATGCATACACTCAACTATGCTGGCCACAGGTGAAATCAACAAAGTACAAGATACTGTTGTGAACTCAAGAGAGAGGAATGAGCATTCAGATGAGGATGTAAAATTGAGAAAATGTCATGGTATCAGTCACTCTGCTCCTGTGATCAGAAAAAAAGCAGATAAGCAAATAAACCAGAAGAATGCTGATGCATAGACATACGGAGAAAGTTTTTTTAACAGAACCAACAGCATGTTGTCAAACTGACCAGCCTTTTTTTTTTTTTTTCTTGGAATTTCCAGGCAGTATCTGAAAGCTGCATAAAGAAAAAAAGGGACCAGAGTCAAGACAAGCAGGATGTTTTACCTAGGTTTCATGACAAAACCTATGTGTAGGTTACAACTTCTGTTACAAAGCTTTGTGCAGATTTGACTAGTTTTTCTACATCATTTCAATAACTCTTTTGATCTGAGGCAATAGTTCTCATTATACCACTGTCAAAACTTGATTCAAGTGCATCTTAGCTGCTTATGTGCTTTTGGCACACCTGGTTGTAAAAGTAGCTTATTGCTACTTATTACTCAATACTTTCTTCATAAGAAAGAAAGAGTAATTCCTGTGCATACACTAACTTTTACCCTGATCTAACAATGAGATTGCCATAACAAGTAGAGGAGAAGAAAGAAACAGAAATAATCTCTTAATGTACAAACCACCATGAACTTCTGGTCTGTTAGCTTCATAAGCCAGGTAGGACAGTAACAGGGAACTGCTGCCATAACCCTCACCCATGTAACATTGCTATTATTTGAAGATAATGGGGAGAGGAAAAAGAAAAGTCAGAAGGAAAAGAAGAGTTCTGGAGATAAAGATTAGAGAGAAGGAATTGAGAAATAGTCAATTATAAAGGAGGTTTTAATTTATTTTTTTTACTTTTGGATTTTTTACTGAGGTATATGAAGAGGTCATTTACGCAACTTAAAAAATATTTTAATAAGTAAAATATCACATTTCCAGGATTAATTGTCAGTACTGTGCTGCATGAAAAGCAGGAAACTTGATGAGGGAGTAGTTGCATACCAATGTTTTGCTCCTTCCTCAAGCAAGAGCTTTACGATATTTCCTCTCCTACTTATTTAGGAGAAACTTACTGCTTTACACAATAATAACTTATTTGCTTAAGCGACAGTGGATAAACCTTATCTCTTCTCTCTTCAGGAAATCCTCCAGGTGTGATTTCTTTAACCTGATTATGCTTTTGAAAGAATGAATAAAGAAGACTAATGTGTCCTTACATTTTCTATAGACATAGTCTGCAATAAAACTTTTTATTTCTCAACTCAGGGAAGATATATTACCTCAAAACATTAGTTAGATGTGATTTAGAAACAGACACAAATTCTGCATGAGGATCAATTTATCACCCAGCATGCTAGAAAAATCAGAGATAATGCTGACTTTGTGCTAACACTACAGAATAGTGCAACACTGATGTATGACACCTGACAGCTTTTAAGAAATAAATGCATCCCAACTGGGACATAAGCCGTCTCACCGCTTGCTGCTTAACAATACATATGGTATGAAAAATACTGTGTTTATAATTAGGGCTCAAAGGGCAGTGGTTCCTCATAGTAACACTGATATAGCCCAAGAGAATAATTAGAATGTGTTAAAATTATTTCTGTGAGAAAAACCTAGGGGTGACCTAAATCCACATTTGTCACTGGAACCTTCAATTAGGAATTTTTCATCTAAAAATGCCTATTTATAAAGCAATGTGAATTAGAAATAAATACTAGAATTACTAGAATATTACTAGCATACTAGAATTAGATGACATGATAAATACCATTCAAAATAACATTCACATTGAAGTCTCTCTAAGTTCTTAATATTATAGTATTTTTAAAAGTATTTGGACAAGTCATATCTAGGATACATTGAATATAAATAGACAAAAAAGAATGAAATATTTTGCCCCAAAAACTTTGAATTTATGGAGAGTTTTGACATCGTCCCCAAGGAGAAATGAATACATTCTCAAAATCATGCTAAAAAAATCACAGCTTCTGACAAACCCAAGTGGCAATTTCCACAATAATCACCTGAAGATTTTCTGAGAGTTAGTTTACTCCATGTAAAGAATAAACTGCTTCAGCACTTGATATACAGCAGACTTGGGAGGTCTTTCAGTAATCAGTTTGTGCTCTGTCTTGAGTAGGTTCACAGGCACTCCTTCACTGCTTTCTTTCAGAAAATACAGTTTGCAGTGTAACACGAGTGGCAAGGACCCCCCAGCAATGACAAGTCTCAGTGATTTACTTCTGAAAAGTACACTACTCCTTCCATTGCCCTGCCACCTGGGAAGAGAAAAGCGGATCAAAGTCCTTCTTGGAATTTCAGGAACACACCATCAGTTTCTTCACTCAAGTGGTTAACCAAATATTCAGAGTCTTGCAAATAGATCCAAACAGGATCCAGTTGTTTCTCTGAGGCAACTATTTGCAAAGAAGATAAAAAGTTCAGCTTCTGCGAACCCAGGGAAGTCTAACAATAAGAGGCAACATCTCTTAAGCAGTTACTCTTTTAGTCAGCATTGAGCCCAAATGCACTTATTCTCTTTCTCAGTACAAACTTTTGGTAACAATTTAGGTTATAAGGCCTGGGTCTCATTAGGGTTATTTTAACATGTTCTGTTACCCCACTGCTTTCTTTGCAGTGGCGCTCAGATAATGTTTGAAAGTTACCCCGTTACTGTGCCCCAGCTGCAATTCCCTGAAAAGGCTATTGTTTGTTATACCATGATTAGGCTGGTCGGTCAGACTCTTACATGGCACACCCAGAGTGAAGCTGAAACAACTGAGATACCAGGAACTTGACCTTAATAAATCTGTAATTAATTAGGCTTGTGTTGCTCTGACACTCCCAAAGTACTTGTTAAAAAAAACCCAAAACAAACAAAAACCAAAAAAGCCACAACAAACCAAAACAAAATGCAAACATAACAAAATTTATTGGGATCTTGGCAGAGGTCACGCTTACTCAGGGGATCAGGTATCTCAAGTGGCTGGTTCCTGTGCAGGCACTGCCAGGAATCACCATTGCAAGAGCAATCAGCCGGATCAAGTAAGACTCCCACTTGTCGTACTCACTTATTATCTAGCTGCCCTGTGATTATTATGTAGGAATCAAACAAGACACACAAGCCAGTACAAAGAGATATTTCAAATTTGGCACAACATCTTACTGAAACACCAGCTTAGTCCCAATGGCAGTTTGAGCATACTAGGAAAGAGCTGGGGCACACTGCAATACTTGCTTCTTAAGCTTACATTCGGGCACAGTATAACACTAGTAAAGAATATACTTGTCTAGAATTAGCAGAGCCTTAGCCAGGAGCGGACTCATGCTCAGTCAAAGAGGAGGTGAGGGACCAGTGCAGAAAAGATTGTAGTGTATCTGTCAGAGGTTGAATGATTTCATGGCTGCAAATCTTCACACGGTGTAAGAATTTGTGCCACACAGACCAGTGCTAATATGGAAGCTGATGGTCCCCCAATTCCCAGGAACTCTGTCCCTAGTCTCAGCCCCTCCAGTATCCTAAATATTTAACCCTTTCACAGGTTATAGACCACTTCTACATACCTATGGGAATTAATGCATTTTCATAATTAGAATTTTTACTCTCATGCATTTGATTTACGGATTGTAATATCTTTACATGTTCACACATTTCACTACTTTCAAATATGACTAGTTCTTATTGCTGGAGCATATTAAACATGAGAGAAATAGATTAATGGTAAAACCTACATCTAGGTGTCAACAAGTAGGAGTCTAAATGAAAGGGAAGTATCTAAGCTCCAATTACAGTCAATGGATGCCATGGCATGATTCAGTTGCTTAAACAAAGGCATCTAATGCAACTTGCAGCACACTCAACCATCCCTCCCAGCCTCCAGCTGCCCTGCTGGAGAGGCATGGCTTGTACATTCAGCCAGAGCAGCATGGCTTAGCTATGGTAGAGTGCCTCAAATTCACAAAGATACTTGTTTCAACGGGTAGCTCCAGTGTCTTCAATGGCACCAACTCTGTACAACAGAGCCACTAGTCAACAGTCAGTTCAAAGGCCTAGGGACTACACTTCATAAAACATACACAAAATATAGAAATAAGAAAAAGGATGAAATAAAGATTAAATGTTTTAAAAATATATATTTTTTTATTTATTCATGGTACAAAAGAAGTATTTTCTTTCTATACCCCAATGAACTGTCTTGCGTTGCCCTAGAACACACGCACCCCACTTTGGACGCCATTACCTTAGACCACACAACCAGTGCTAACACTGATCCACGCACACGTTCAGGTTTACAAGTGATACATCTAGAAGTCAGCTAACTGAAAAGAAATTCAGCAGTGAACTAATCCCTGGTGGAACAGACTGTATCAGGTGAAATCACTGAACTGTCTCTGTACATTGCAAATAGTTACAGGAGAATTTGCCAAGGCATCATAGACATTTTTTGATCAAAGTTGGTAAGAAACAGAGCATTGGTCAGAGTCAGCATAAATGTATTTACAGAGGCATTCCAATAAAGTAGTTCCATAGTACCTCTATCCACTGCTTATTGACAATTAACCATGGTGCATAGTTTCCTACAGGATGGAAGGTGTTGCTTTGTCATTTAAGCAACTAAGAAAATAGAAAATTTTCTAGTAAGACAAGAACTGTAGTACTTCTGAGTTACAGATTCATCAGGAGGGCACAGTTTTCACTGAAGATCAAAACTACAGGTTTACTCTAGTATTGTGCTTCTCCAGAGCCCTCCAAACACTTATGGAGACATAATTTAAGTCTGAATTTGTTGAGTTAGGGTCACAGTCCAGAAGTTTAATGTTTTGCATCCAGCAGATTCCAAAAGAGGTAATAAAGGCATTCTTCAAGGAATCTTCTCTGAAGTTAAGACCTGAGAAGCATGGCAGCAAGCCTAAAAAATGGTGGGTAAAGGGAAAAGGAAATAGCTTAATGAATGAAAATATCACTTTAAAGTGCATTTTCCAAATTAGTAGTTCAGCAAGATTAACAAGTATAAGTGGTTATATTTCATCTTAAATGGGAGCTTTCATGACAAAATTCTAAATAATTTATATTTTTAAATATAAAGCAAATCTTTTAAAAGAGGAAAAAAAACTAAAACCAAACAAAGCACGCCACACAAATCTCATACAACACTTGTCCTTTTACTGTGTCCTGAATTGTAAAGCATTTGCCAGCATGAAGAAAAGAGGGTGGCTGTATTCCACTGCTACTTCTGACATGTTCAGGGCCAGAAAACACTTAAGACAACACCTTATTTAAATATACAGGTGTTATATATAACTAAGTAATTCAGTCAACAGTTAGTTCATAGTTTAAGTGAAGCTTGAACATGCTGAACAGTGCCGACAAGACAACATAGAATTGGAACGTGGTTCCTCAGAATCTATTTGTCCATGTAGGAAATAAAGCTTAAGAAACAAAAATTACATCTGACATTCAGACGAAAACTTCCAATGTCTTAAAAAGTTACAATGCCCAAAGTGAAACGTGTGGATGGGATTTATAAAAATGCCAACAGCTCAAAATGCCAACAGCTCAAATACATAAGTTGTTGAGAGCTGTGTTTTGAATATACAAAGTTTTAAGTACTTTCAGAAAGCAGAATCCACTAGTTCTAGTGTCCAAGGTGAGGAGACATTGGGTGGTTAGGTCTCAGCATCTGTCTGCCTTGTTCTTCAACTATCAAGGCTGTTACACCCAAAACAGCTTTACAAAGTTGCAATAAAAAACTCTGAATATAATTTTGGACTACGAATGTTTTGTATGTCTTATATGCCTACAACAAGTTATTTAAAAGAAAATATTGTAAGAAAATGAAAAGGAAAAAAGCCTAATTTGCATCTGCAAATAGCTGCAAGCTTCATAAAAGACTTAGAAGTTGTCAGTTACATCAAGATGGCATGCATTTACATGCAAAACTTTTTTGGTATTAACATCCTGTGATTACTCAATTCAGAGAATAAGCAGAAAGCAGCAGAGAAGAACAAAGAGGAAAGTGAAGAGATGAAAAAAATTCACTATGCAATCATATATGCATTTGCATTTGAATATTAAAGAAGATATGCAGATTCTCTTAATTTTTCTCAGACAGAAACTATTTTCCAGAATACTTACAGCTTTCTCTTCCAATGAGAGTACACCATCTACAGCCACTATCTGGTATTGCTTTTCTTTTAAGTTACCCACAAACTTCCGAAGTAGTTTGAGACTAGTACCATCACTGTTTTGTTTTAGCAGTTTCTGCATTTCTTGGGAAGGACATCCTGGGTCAAACAGCAGCAAGCATAAGGTCTTATTCTTCTTTTCTTCTATTCCAACAACAGTACGACTATGACCTAATTTCAAAACAGATTTTCAGTATTTTAAAAACACATAAATCCAATTTACTTCCTCTTAGCATACTACTTATTTTCAGATCAAGGGAGATATTAGGCCAAGACCAGGCTGGATGGGGCCCTGGGCAGCCTGTTCTAGTGGTTGTCAACCTTGACCACAGCAGGGGGGCTGAAACTAGATGATCTTTAAGGTCCTTTTCAACCCAGGCCATTCTGTGATTCTATGATTCTATGAAATTTAATAAGGTAGTTATAAGTAAAAAGCAGATGTCAAAAAGTTGAGATCCCAATCACATCCAGCTCTTCCATCCAGTAAAAACACAAACATTAATGTTGCTCTTACTAAATAAAAAAACTAACAGAAAATAGAGTCATGCCTTCAAATAAATGCTGCTCTGAATTGCAGCACATATAATAAAAGATAGAGAATAAACCAGCACATTGTGATACTGACCTTGATGTTGCAAGTAGATGGGTGGTTTGGAAGTACACACTACCTTTGCACCACCTTCATTATCTATAGAATAGTAACGTAAAATCCACTCAAATAAACGAGGGTGTGTACCCATAGGACCAGTTGGTTTGTGAAAGTCAATGATTTGACACCTACAGAACATTTAGAGTGAAAACAATAATAATATTTCAAGCACGTTGTCTGTTAAAACAATTTTTTCACCTCTCAGTCCCTTCCTCCTGCACCAAGAATGTTTTGTAAACACAGCAATTCCATGCATCAAGTGGTCGTGTTACCCCTTTTTATGTTTAAAATAGGAGTACAGGACACATAATTACAAAGCAATGCATTATGTACTGTTCAAAACTTGAAAGTTTATTCTGTAACAAAGAAACTCTACTCTGTTGAGTCTAACAAGAATTTGTGAAGCTTGCAAAAACTAAAGCATCTGATTTTTTGTGTGATACGCATACACTAGAGAATTCAATTAACAGCTTTCAGACTTATGCTATTGAAGAGCTGAAATTCATATTTTTCTCATGAAGAAACTTCTAGAGAAAGTAAGTTCTTAATCAGTGTTTGATTTTATGCACGTGGCATAATTCTTCACCAAGTCTCAATGATCTAAGCAGTTTTTCAATTCATGTACCTGCATAAGTAACTACATGCTGCGCTAAATCAGATCTGTTTATAGGCTGGTTAAATTTAAAGCCACTAAGATGGCTTTGTCATTGCATAGTTGGCAATTCTGCCCTTTAAAGATACAGCACTTAAATCAGCACTTAAAAATAACAACAACAAGAAAAGCAATCATTTACTTTATCCTGAGACTTGTTAACAGTGAATAAATTTCACATGCTCCTATCCATGCTTTGGAACCATGTAATCTGTTGTTGAAGTGAGATGCTCCATGAGGATCAAAGCCTTCTCTCCAGGCATCTTCAATCATGGACTGAATCTTTGGTATACTAGGAATCAGTGCAGTATCTGGAACAGAAAAGCTTTTGAATTGGGGTTACAGTTACTGAAAGAGCCTATTAATTTAAAATATTCAGCTTCTTTTATACAAGGCAGTTAATGTTACAAAGAAGTGCCAAAAAAATTAAAGCTAAAACTTCAACCACGTCATGCCTTGCCCATATTTACCCCTCTGATTCTTTCCACAGTAAGCTGTAGTGGTATAACAAGCATTTAATAGGTAACATTGACCTAGTAAGACTTGCTGGGCAAATGAAAAGGTAAAACATCAGTCAGTAGGTTGTCATCCAAGGTACGTGAAACAAATAGGCAGCATTTTGTTTAATACCTTTCAAGCAGTCATTATACAAGCTGTTTTGCAACAGTGAGGAAAGGAGCATCTGGAAATTCCTGTAACCGCAACCCCAGCCTCTGTCGCCCAAAGATGAGTGGAAGTGATCTACTCCTGTTGAAAGCCATACATGCCTCACATCTTTGTTTTCGTTCTGATAGTACTTCCACAATGCTTCAATGACTCCTAAAAGAAGACCAAATATAAAGTTTATCTGTAATATGAACTACAAGATTTGCCAGAAGAAGATTATTTCCCCAGCTTGGAACAGATACAGATTAAGACAATTTATTTTAAAACTTCTAAGTGATCCTACATTACCTCTAGAACCCAAATTATAAAAACAGTGGACATTGCACCTATTTTGTTTCAATGGTCTTTGATGAATTTATGTACTAGGAGGCTTTCAGAATTCACTGCTTCTACACAATGAATATTTTAAATTAAACAGCTTGGACTACATTATAAACTGTGATATGCACAGGAACTATTAAAATGAAACAGGGAAAGTAAAGCATTTCTATGCTACTGCCACCTCCAGTACAACATCCCCTTAAAAACATGGAAATGCTTATGCATATGATGTAATACTTTTATTCCCTCCAAATTATTTTTTTATGGAGAAACTAAGACAAGAAAAGGAATGGCACAGACTTTGAGAACTACTGTAAATATTTTTTAAAAAATCCACTTGCAGGATATTCCAAATCCTCCTTTGTTATATGAAAGAACATGCTTGGGAATGCTCTCTCAAATTTGTATATGTAAATTCTCAAAGGCCCTTTATTGCCATGCAATAGTGAAGCCAATCACTCCACAGCCATCATAGATTATTTTCTGAATTCCTCTCTGAAGTCTAAATCATTACCAAGAATGAAAACTTTAAATGTATTATTACCACTCAGTACATTCTACAGAAGAAATTTTACTTTACCCACCAAGAACCACAAGGATATTTTGTAAGCTAGAACCACCAGCAATAAGCTAAAAGACCTTTGAACTCACAAGTAAAGACAAGGAAGCCTTTTGAAAGGGACATAGAAATCCATTGGCACTGTATTTTTGTACCAATTATAAAACATTTCAAAGAAGACGTTCCAAGTAGATGTCTACTCCTCCCAGTTCTCTCTGGGACTTTGTAATCAGAGGAACATTGCTTACCTGGGACAAGCTTGCATGACACTACAGCTAACTGAAACACAAGATAAAAAGCTACTGTAAATTTTAATAGCTACGCTAGGTCACGAACCAATGAGTACTAAGCAGTAAACATACATTCAAGGACAAATGACTTGTAATAATTTTTTTATTATTATAAAAATATTATT